TTTTCCCATGGGACTCTGGTCAGAGTGCACCTCAGCAGTACCTCTGCCCCCCCCGAGAGGTTACCTTCCAGTGGGCCCGGAGCCCTGCGCCACATGTCGGTCCATTTCCCGCCGCCAGAGTATTTGGGGGTGGACAGACCTCCTACCATGCCACGTCAATTAGTTAGTGATTTGTCAGTTTTCGGTTCTCGAGAGGGCACCGCGGCCGTTATTTTCCAGACTTGCGCCCGCCAGGTTGGGCCCGAGGTCTTTTTCACTGAACCACGTTTTACTAAAGGGGGCTCTGTCCATCCCCGAAGTCTGTCCACGCCCACCGCCTCGGAGTCATGACCCCCCTGGACCTCGCACGCGCTCACACAGTGGACCGCCCCCGAGGGCGGGGAAGCAAGCAGTTACCCAGGCGCATGTTTCCTCCTCCTCCTCCTCCTCCTCCTTCTCCTCCTCCTCCCCCTCCTCCTCCTCCTCCTCCTCCTCCTCCTCCTCCTCCTCCTCCTCCTCCTCCTCCTCCTCCTCCTCCTCCTCCAGGGGCCCCGGGCGGGACTCCGGCGGCGGTGGATGTGCAAGTCTCCCGGCGGCGCACCCGTGCCTCGAGGCTCCCGGCCCCGAAGCAGAGGGATCCGTCTGCCAACGCTGGGCAAAACCCTGACCTCTCCCTCCTCCTCCTCCTCCTCCCTCTCCCTCCCTCCTCCTCCTCCTCCTCCTCCTCCTCCTCCTCCTCCTCCTACTCGCCGTCCTCCCCCTCCTCCCCCTTCTTTTCCTCCCCCCTCAGGGTGGCGGGGGGCCCGCCACCTTGACCTTCCAAGAGGGCAAAAAAATAGCACGCGACTTAAAAACCGATCCCAAAGCTATTCTACGTCTCGGTTTTGGGCTGTCTCGCCCAGTTTTCTAGGTTTTTGGGCCTCCAGTGCTAACACATTACCCTGCGACGTACCCAACCCACGTGCATCAAATGGCAAGAGGAGTATGCCAACATTAGCAGGAACAACGACAGTGTAGACGCGGCGATTTGCTGTGCAAACTACATGGGACGCGCATGCGTTGCACGATTCACAGGACGACGATCGAAAGAACGAGGCTTGAGGCCCCAGGATCGAAGAAGAACGGGTACGGGAACGAGGGGTAGGAGAGGGATGGAATGGAGGGCGGGGGGGGCGAAAGGCCATCGCGGAAGCAGCAGCATGCATGGAGAAGGTGAGGCGGGGAATAGGACGACGATGAAAGTGGCGGGAGGAGACAGAAGACTGCCGCGTTTTTCAAGTGCGAGCTAAACCCGCAGCGCTGCCTGCGCCATGTCGTCGCAGAGTTCCACATGATAAAACTTGTTTAGAGTGCAAGGAACGAGCGAGGCGTAGCTCGCCCGCTAGCTTCTCCGCCTCCTTCCCGCACATTTCAGCGCGGGAGCTGAACGCTCGCAGGCGCGCCGCCAGGTCTGCGGGCGGCCCGCGGGAAAGAAACTCAAGGCCGGGGTCGCGTATCATCAATCGGTTGTCCATCGTCCAAAGTTGCACTGGCGACGTACTGGTTGAACGCGGAGCGAGCAGCATCACGCGCGTGCCTGAACGCCACGCAGGTACAGTGCACGCGCGATTGGGACTTCAGGTCGATCACGCGCGTCTCCACCAGGCTTGGCAACACCACGCGACTGAGGATCTCACTGCGGTCTGCCATGCTGCTGTCCGCGAATGCAATGCGCTGCCTGCAAGTAAGGCGGCGGCGTCCACTTGTCTCAGAAGATGTTCCCGCGGGCCCGAAGGGCGACCGCCAGCTCGAGCCGCGGCGCCGGCAGGCCAGATAAGGATCATGCAACAGCAAAGACGATGACAGAGCAACGAGGTATCGGCGAGTGCATGACCGGCCTCCGTTTCCTGCACTTCTTTCCTGTAGTTCCCCTAGCTCATCGAGCTCAGCAGATGTTTCTGCGGGTCCGAAGGACGACCGCCAGCTCGAGTCGCAGCGCCGACGAGCTGCATCCACATCAGGCAACACCCCAGGAGACACTGGCACACAACGATTTGACGTCAGTCAGTGCCAGACCACTCCATGTCTAGTTCCTCGCACACATACAGTCGATCGCAGATGCGGGATAATCGAAGTAGAATGACGGGTCCAATCTGCGTCCGCGTAGGACGTCACTATGCTGGACCCCGCAGCAGGTCTCGAAAGTGGCGACAGTTTCATGGGCCCCACAGCAGCCCTCGAAAGTGGCGACAGTTTCACAGATCGTAGCCCCCCAGCGCTGGCGAGGTCTAATCTGAGTCCCCGTAGGACGTCACTCCGCTGGCCCCCCAGCAGCCTTCGAAAGTGGCGACAGTTTCACAGATCGCAGCCCCCCAGGGATGGCGAGGTCTAATCTGTATCCCCGTAGGGCGTCACTCCGCTGGGCCCCCCACGCAGCCTTCGAAAGTGGCGACAGTTTCACAGATCGCAGCCCCCCAGGGATGGCGAGGTCTAATCTGAATCCCCGTAGGGCGTCACTCCGCTGGGCCCCCCAGCAGCCCTCGAAAGTGGCGACAGTTTCACAGATCGCAGCCCCCCAGGAATGGCGAGGTCTAATCTGAATCCCCGTAGGGCGTCACTCCGCTGGGCCCCCCAGCAGCCCTCGAAAGTGGCGACAGTTTCACAGATCGCAGCCCCCCAGGGATGGCGAGGTCTAATCTGATCCCCGTAGGGCGTCACTCCGCTGGGCCCCCAGCAGCCCTCGAAAGTGGCGACAGTTTCACAGATCGCAGCCCCCCAGGGATGGCGAGGTCTAATCTGAATCCCGTAGGGCGTCACTCCGCTGGGCCCCCCAGCAGCCTCGAAAGTGGCGACAGTTTCACAGATCGCAGCCCCCCAGGGATGGCGAGGTCTAATCTGAATCCCCGTAGGGCGTCACTCCGCTGGGCCCCCCAGCAGCCTCGAAAGTGGCGACAGTTTCACAGATCGCAGCCCCCCAGGGATGGCGAGGTCTAATCTGAATCCCCGTAGGGCGTCACTCCGCTGGGCCCCCCAGCAGCCTCGAAAGTGGCGACAGTTTCACAGATCGCAGCCCCCCAGGGATGGCGAGGTCTAATCTGAATCCCCGTAGGGCGTCACTCCGCTGGGCCCCCCAGCAGCCTCGAAAGTGGCGACAGTTTCACAGATCGCAGCCCCCCAGGGATGGCGAGGTCTAATCTGAATCCCCGTAGGGCGTCACTCCGCTGGGCCCCCCAGCAGGCCTCGAAAGTGACGACAGTTTCACAGATCGCAGCCCACAAAGAGAAGAGAGGAGGAGGCGGGAGGAGGCGGGAAGGAAGGAAGGAAGGAAGGAAGGAAGGTGGAGACCGCAGTGCTCTATTCAAAACGAGTACCCAACGCAGGAGGGTTGGGAATTACTCTCTGGAAGGTCAGGGCACCCAGGGGGGGGGGCGGGGGGCGGGGGGCCCAGCTGGCCGCAGCTGAGCGCCGAAGCGCGGCGCCCCGGGAGGCCGCGGCACCAGCGCCGCCGCCCGCAGCCGAGGAGGCAGCCCCTCCGGCGCCAGCCTACGCCGAGGCTCCGGCTCAACAGGCCGTCGCGCCCCCGCCGCTGGCGCCCGCGGCTGCGGAGGCAGCCCCGCAGGTGCCGGTCCCCGCCGCGGCTCCGGCTCCGCAGGCGCGCTCTGGGCCATGGGCTTGGCATCGTTCGGACGTGTGCATTCTTCCTTCGGCGAGGACCATCGAGGAGCATCCTTGATCACTTGGCGAAACAACCACGCACGAAACCGAAAAAAAACACAGGGAGTGGACGTCCGAGCGATGGCGAATGCGCCGCTGCTCTTGCGCACGGTGTCGCTGTGCAAATGTTCCTGCTCCCGCCGCGTCTCCAGGTCCACAGGCGCGCTCTGGGCCGAGGGTTTCAATCAGTGGCGAAGCGTCCTGGCTCGCCTCTAGCTCACCACCCACCAAACCACCCCAACCCAACCCGAAGGCTCCAAATTGCCCTCCATTTCCAGTGGGGGGGGGGTCGGGGAATGTTGAGAAAACACATATGAAACCCTTACCCCCCCAAACCCGAAATTCGGGTCTTCGGGTTGGGTTGGGGTGGTCTGGTAGGTAGCCACTAGCCCTACCAAACAACGTTCTAAGATCCTTTTGTGGCTTCCACGAGATGTGCTTCGAACACTTCTGGCGGAAAAGGTTTTGTCTTAACACATGGGCTTATTCGGCAGTGGACAAACCTCCCTTTAGTAGACCTCCCCTTAGGGAAAACGGCCTGGGACCGAAATCGACGGACCTGGACCCGCAACAATGACGGCTGCGACGCCCTCTCGCGAACCGAAAACGGCCAATTCCTTAATCGACGTGTCAGGGTAGGAGGTCTGTCCAGCCCCGATTTATGTTCTAAGAACGTTGTTCTTGTTATTATAAAATTTTTGGGTTCTAAGAGCATTTCGTGGTAGGACTATAGGAATGCCGGGACGGTCGGTCCCTGATCAAGGGTTGCTGATCTTGTGCTCGGCGCTGCCGCACCTCGGCGGCCCCTGCTGCCGCCTCTGCTGCTGATGCTGCTGCCGGCACCACGGGAGGCAGGAGCGGGCCGCTGGCTCCCTCGGCGTCCTTTGTGCCGGGCGCTGGGGCAGCAGCGGGCCGTCGAGATCCTGGCAGCGGGCGTCGACATCCTGGCAGCTGGCCCCGTGCGTCCGACCTGGAGAGAGAGTCACGACGTCGTCGGAACATGACGACGGGATCCCTGGGCTGGGCCGAGCCGTGAGCGCCCGGGGGACAGGCATGCGGGCGCGAGGCCGCCCGTCGCGCTTCCACGGCGCGCAGCTGCTAGGGGCGTCGGCGTCTTGCTTGGCCTCCCCGCCCGAGCCGCAGTCTCCGTCGCAGCCGCCGCAGCCTGCCGTCGCTGCCTTCCGCTGCCGTGCCTGCCGCCGCCGCCGCCGCCGCCTCCGCCGCCGCCGCCGCCTCCGCCGCCGCGCCGCTGCCGCAGCCGCCGGGCCCGACCTGCTGCCGGCTGCAGCCCCGGGGCGGGGGCCGCGACCGCCCACGTCCGCCGCGAGGCGGCGCCGGCGTCCGGGGCCGCGGAGGCGGCGCCGAGCGCGCCGGCGGTGCCCACCGAGGCACGCCGCGCCCGCGCGGCCGCGGGCGCCTTCCGCCGCCTCTTGACGGCTTTTCGCCGATCGACTGGTGAGGGTCAAGCCGGGTAAGTCGAGGCAGATGCAGATGAATCAATCACCAGCCGAAGCCGAGGCCGGTTCACGCCCTCGAGAAGCTAGGACTGTCCTGTCCCTTGGACGCTCAGGCCGTCGCTCGAATCGGAGGTGGCGCACCTTGTGCTTTGATCTGCCCGTGTCTTCTTTGTCTGTCACAAGTCCCCGGTGGTGCTGCGAGCGGGCCTCGTTGTAGCTCGATCAAGTTGGGCGTCTGATATAATGGCCGCCGCTGCGCGCAGTGCTCTGCCAAGGCCGCGAGGCGGCGGGTTTACGAGGGTTTCTTTCGAATGCAATGACCATGTGAGGAAACAAACCGAAGTCCCAATCTATCATGCATATCAGAAGTATTATTGGTTTATCGTAGACGAATAGTCTATTCATATTCGTCTCTATAAAGAACTGCATTGAAGATTCGGGCCCTGGCACACGCCATCCAGACGGTCAGGCTATCAGTGCAGTCCCGATCTTTTGAGCATCTCGAGGCTACGCTCGGTCCCATGTGCCTTTCCGCTGATTTTTCAAAGAGTTGGTGTTATTCGACATGGTTCCATTTGCATGTGCCCCTCCTGGCAAGTAGCAGATCACGAGGATTGCAGCCACCGTGGCATAGCAGAGCCACACCTATGTCTTTGTTCGTCCTTGCATAATACCTATCAGTGGTTCTTAGAACACGTCGTCTTCAACTAGACGCCGTCGTGGAGTCGGGGGACCTCGTCGCCACGGTAGGGCGCACGGCAGTGATCTCATCGAAAGGGGGGCAAAGGTGTAATCGGTGAGTGGACGGCGCAGAGACAATCGACCGTTTCACGGGCGCGCAGCCACAGGAGTGAATGCGCGGCTTTTCGCGGTGCCGCTGCTCGCGTGCTCCACGCGAGGTTGCGGGCGGAGACGTGGCTTCCAAGTTCTGGCTCCGCAGTTCCATGGCGAGTCAGGGTGCATCCGGGCAGACCCCGAGAATTCCGGGTGTATCCAGGCAGCTCCACAGACCTGCAGGTACGAGTCTGAAGCACAGCGTGGCCGCCCCGGCGCGAGCCGAGAGACGGCAGACGCCTTCGAGAAGCCCTCCGCCGCGGAGGGGGGCCAGGCGTGCGGCAGGTTCGGCGGCGCCTCGGCGATGCAGCCCTCGGCCCCCCTCCCGCTCTCCGCGGGCTTCCGCGGTGCCTCCTCTCGCGGCCGCGGCCGGGCGCGGCTCGGGGAAGCTGGCCAGGAGGGGTGCCCGAGAGGGATCCGGGGAGCCATTCTGAGCGAGGAGGCAGACTTGCCGCGCCGCCTCGACGCGGCGGCGGAAGCGGCGCGGGCGTCGGGCAGAGGGGCCCACGGAAGTCGTCCGCCCGCGGTGCGAGGCCCGTAGGAGGGGCAGGGTCCAGGGAGCTCAAGGTTGCAAGGCTCGCGTGGTGGCGGACACGAGGGCCCGTGTAGCCGTGGCGGGCATCCTCCGTGCACACCTGCACCGATGTTGGACAGGCCGATCCTCGTGCCAAGATCCGTCCATGCCCACTTGGGCATTGCCAGGGCAGTATTCCTGATGGTCTTCCGTCTCCCTCCTCTCCGCCTCCCCTTTCCCCCGCGCCATGATGAGCTCGCGAGAACCTCCAGGAACCCCAGGATCCCCAGGACCCGCTCAGACCCTCGGTCATTCCGACTTCCCCATATCCCCCTGACCTCTGCTTGGGCTTTGTTCAGGAGGGAAAGAAACACACAGACACAATTAATCGTCGACTCCCCAGAAAATATGGGAAAATATGGGAAGTGGTGGGGAAGATAAAAACCCAGAAAATATGCGGAAATATGGGGGATCTTTTTATTTGTGTGTATTTATTTGTGTGTCCCAGGGCCCCTTCATTTGTGCGAGCACTCGGCAGGACGCGCTGAATCTTGACACGCCTTGCCGACAGCGTGAAGCTGCACCAGACCACCGGTAGAGGCCAATCGAGGCTGAGGTAGTAATCGCAGGAGAGAGAAAGTGTGAGTTCTCGGCCGGGCAGGGCGTGGACCAGTGATGTTGCAGACGAGTCTGAAGGAAATCCATGACTGCTTCAGCTTGGTTACACAACGAGCCAGTCTAGCTTATGATCTGGCTTACTCCGGCTCAGCCTGATATTGTAATGTCCATAGCCTGTTCACCAGAACCCAAATTTCATCAGAACCCACATTTCATCAGAAAGGCGCGGGAAATATTGTTGTTTTACCGTCTCCTCTTGGAACTATTCGACTTGCACTTGTGGCTTGAAGGCGGACGAGGGCTTGTGCTGATTCAGAGAAGCACGAATATGGCATTTAACAGTTGTATGGCAAGGAAGACATGCTTTACGCGGCTACGAGTTAATTAGGATAGCCATGGATCTCATCACATAGGCATGTTTGGACTTATGTTTGTCTTTGGTTGATTATTTGTTGTTTTATATGTTGTCTCGAGTTCGGTCTGGTTTCCAGAGTGTCCTCTATGGGTCTTAAGCGCACACGTATGGTCGAAGTGAGCTGGTGATGCCGCGATCGCGGCGGCCGCGCCCTCAAGCAATTGGTTTCCGTGCAGTTTATAGACCAGGGCCTGCCCCTCCTTCTGGAGAGGGGGGACGAGGCTACGGGGAGGACATCCGCCGATACCCAGAGGTGTCGGGCGAGCGCCAGGCAGTCGCGGGGGCGTCTGCCCAGCGGTCAAGTGCGTCCCGCCTTCCTCCTGTCAAGCTGGTCCCGATGGCGTCCTGGAAGAACTTATTTTTCACTGTCAACCCACCGGGCAGGTTGGGCTCGCCAGATTTGAAGAAACGAGTTCCCCACCCTCCTCGCACACCGCACATCCTGCGTACCGTTGCCGCCAGGCCCCAGCGATCCTGGTGGTCCCTGGAGATCCCGCCTCGCGTCTTCGACGAATGACGAGCACGTACCGCGGCCACCAGGCCTCGAGAACCCAACTCATCACCATCGAGGGCATACATCAAACACCTGATTGAACAACGTATACCCGTAACACAGCAGCATTCATCAGCAGCACCCATGCACGAGCCACAGGAGGGGGAGGAGGAGGAGGAGGAGGAGGAGGAGGAGGAGGAGGAGGAGGAGGAGGAGGAGGAGGAGGAGGAGGAGGAGGAGAGGAGGAGGAGGAGGAGGAGGAGGAGGGAGGAGGAGGAGGAGGAGGAGGAGGAGGAGGAGGAGGAGGAGGAGTTGGAGGAGGAGGAGGGGGAGGAGGAGGAGGGACGGAGAGGCGCGAGAGCCGAGGCGAGGAGGAGGCGGGAGAGGGGGGTGGGCCGCACCTCGGGGCGTGCACCCCCCCACCCCACCCCCCCCGCGCCCCCCGCGCGGACGCGCGGCGCTGCGCAGGAGAGGGAGGAGAAGAGGAAGAAGAAGAAGTCGAGGCTCAGGCGGCCACCGCGCCCCACCCCCCTCTCGCTCGGGCCTTTCGCCCTCCCTCCCCTCCCGCTCTCTCGCCCCCCCCCCTCCGTGCACCTCCCGTCCTCGCTCTTGCCCTCCTCCTCCTCTCTCCCGTCCCCTCCCGCCTCTCCCTCCCGCTTGTCTCCTCCCCGCCCGCCCCCTCGCTCGGCCGCCCGCCCCCCCCATCCCCTGTCCTTCTAGCGCCCCCCGTCCTGCCCCCCTCCTCCGTACTGCTTCCCCTCTCCTCCTTGGTCTTCCCCCTCCCTCTCCTTGGTTCTCCCCCTCCTCCTCGTCCTCCTCCTCCTCCTCCTCCTCCTCCTCCTCCTCCTTGGTCCCGGTCCTCCTCCTCCTCCTCCTCCTCCTCCTCCTCCTCCTCCTCCTCCTCCCTTGTCCTTCCCTTCCTCCTGCCTCTTCCAATGCTCTTCCATTGCTGTGCCACGCAGACTGTCGCGACCCGAGCATTCCAGGAAACTAGCTTCCTCCCTCCTGTCCGGCGACGGCTACCAATCCATGGTGCCACCCATTTTGTTGCTTCCCTTTGATCCACCAGACGTTTCCGAGTGCCCCGAGGGCCCCCTCTTCCCTCCGAGTCCAGCCTACGCTTGGGCGCCCTTGCTTCAACATCTGACTTCTCGGGGCCCCCCCAAACGGTGCGTCGACCACACCCTGTGGTGTGCCAGTGGGTACCGTACCCAGGATGACCCCGCGATTTCGGGATTTGGTTCGTTCTCCGAGGATGTCCTGGGCGACGGGCCTCCAAGGTCCCCAAACCGTGCGGTGACGGACCGCACGATGAGCTCTCTTTGGGCTTCGAGGTCATTGCATGTTCTGTCACAGCAACAGTTGACGACTCCCACGATTTTCATCTCGCCGATCGCCACGTGCGCTGTGCCTTGCTCCGTCGGCGCGGAGGGGCCAGCCGTGCCTGCCCGTTGGGGGAAGTGGCGGCTGAATGCAGCCCTGCATACCTGATCGTGCAGCCTCGTGGGCCCCAGGGAAGCTCAATCGGCCCCCGAGAAGCCCGACTGCATCACTGGTTCAGGGCGACCTTGCTCCAGCACCCCGCCAACGTCGCAGCGTTGCTTGCGGCGAGGGCCGAGACACCCGACTGTGCCCATGTTGAGGTCACATGGTCCCGGATCTGCAGATTGGGTCTCCGGGCCCAGAATTAGAACTCGAGGCCCATTGGTTGAAAATGCCTTGCCCCCAGGGGCGGAACATCTGCGTACCGATACCGCTGCTTGTTCTGGAGAGCCCTCGTCGCCACAGCTGGAATCTCCGTACCTTTCTGGTCGGGTTGCCATCCGGGAGATTTCCAGAGAGTGCCAGTATCGTTGTTTCGCCTCCCCGAGATCGGGGCCGATAGACGGTGCAGCCTGGAGCGATGGCTCTTGTCACAGCTTGCAAGACAGTGACCTGCGTGTCCGTCGTGCGGGCTGGGCAGTTAACCAGGCTGGGGGTTATCCAGTGCGACGAGGTCATTGAGGTGAAGTGCACAGAAGAAGCACAGCTCCAAGACAATGTCTAGCATACCCCCCCCGTCCGCAAAAGCGGCGAAGGACGACAGCGAGAACCGCCCTTCGCGGCGCGCGGCATTTCGTCTGGTGCCCTGAAGAGCTCCGCTGTCGCCGAGGCTTTCGCGTTGCGTCAGCAGCACACCCTCCGCCCCCCCTTGCCGCTGCCTCCGCCGCTGCTGCCGAGCCCTCGGGCCCCGCCTGTCCCGCTACCCCCACGGTCGCGAGCCTCGCCGGCCTCCGCACCATTTCTGCCTCCTCCAGTGCGGTGCGTCTCCTCGCTCTCCTCGCCAACCCCTGTCGCTCGGTATCGTTTATCCGATCCCCATCCCCATCTCCATCGTCTCCCCACCAAATTACCACCCCAGTTGGGGATGCACCCCTAGAAACCCGAAGGGAACGACCCATCTATCCCCATCTAGGGGGGCACATCGGGCAGTGGGGCCCAGGCCGCGCCGCTGGGGATGGGTAATCGGTGAAAGGATTCTCAGGCGCACCTCGCTTCTTGGCGGCGCGCAAAAGGGGGTAGGGGGAGGGGGGAAGGCTTCTTAGAAGCACCCCTGCTTCTTCGAAGGCCTCGGCCTCACGTCTAGAGAGAAGGCCCGCGCCTTCGGGGAAGCAGGGGTGCTTCTACGAAGCCTTCCCCCCTCCCCCTGCCCCCCTCTGCGCGCCGCCAAGCTTCCTCGTCAGCCTCCGCCCCGTCGCTCTCCTCGTCAGCCCCCGTCGCTCGTCGAGCACCCCTCCCCCGCTGCTGCCCGACGGGTGCGAGCGCGGCTCGGGGGGGGGGGGGGGGGGACCACGGCGGCGGGGGCGTGCCCGGGGGCGGGCAGGCGGGCGCGCCCCCCTCCGTGCGGGCTCGCTGAGGGCCCTCGCCGCCGCCCCGCGTCGGTGGGAGCGCCGAGCAGCGCGCAGTCCGGACTTATAAAAAATATTTTTTGTTTGTTCCTTTTTTTGGTTTTCTCCGGGGGGGGGCGAGGTTCGGCGGCGAGCCCAGCAGGGAAAGCGAGAGGGGGCAGGCTCTCTCAGAAGGCGAGGGCGGGGGAGGCTTCTCGCAAAAGCCCTCGTGCCTGCTGGGAAGCCGCCTGCGGCTCCAGAGAAGCCCCCCTCCGCCTTCTGAGAATGCTGCCCACTCTCACTTCCTCTACTGAGCAGGCCGCCGAGTTCTTTTTGCATTCCAGCTGCCTGCGGCAAGTCCCAGCACCGTGCTAGCCCAGCATTCTGGGTGGCGACTGTTCGAGGGGGCACGGGAGGCCGTCACGTGTAACACCTCCTGTCCCCAGGTTTGGGGATCCGTGCCGATGATGGTGATGATAATGATGATGGTGGTCGTGACGGGTGATGATTGTGGGGAGGAGGAGGATGAGGAGGAGGAGGAGGATGAAAATGATAATGAAGATGATGTGGAGGAGGAGGAGGAGGAGGAGGAGGGAGGAGGGAGGAGGAGGAGGAGGAGGAGGAGGAGGAGGAGGAGGAGGAGGAGGAGGAGGAGGGGGAGGGGGAGGGGGAGGGGGAGGGGAGAGGAGGAGGAGGAGGAGGAGGAGGAGGAGGAGGAGGAGGAGGAGGAGGAGGAGAAGGAGGAGGAGGAGGAGGAGGAGGTCCCGAGCGATGGAACGCGAATCTGCCGAGACAGACCCGCGCCAGCAGAATACAATGTGGATCCGACACCCCTCGCGGGGGTAGAGCGGAGGGCGACAGTCCCAAGAATGAGGGCATACCCCAGGTCGTCGCACACGACAGGGTACACCCAGTCCAGGCCAGAGATGGCAAGGTCGAGCGCGACCCCGAAGACCCACGCAAACAAGCCGCTCTCCAGCACAATGAAGACGGCCGTGCGAGCGCCAGTACCCCCATCTACCATGAGCATCACGGCGGATCCAGCGCGGTCCGTCCCCAGGTCGCGACGGCGAGCTCGACCCCGAAGAGGCACATGAACCCGCCGCCACCGAGGGTGGGCCAGGCCGGCAGCCCAGCCTGCGAAGACGCCCACCAGCATCACCTCGAGCTGCTGGCGGCGGCCCTGAGGAAGATGGAGGTGATGCGGCTGTTGTCGCCCGCTGCCGTCGCCGCCTGGAGCTCCGCCATCACCTGAGGCGAGAACTTGTGGCCACCCTGCGCGCCAGCAGCGGGCGCAGCGACCTCCGCGGAAGGCGGGGCGACGCCCGCGCCATCAGCTCCAGTCGCCGCCAGCGCCCGCGCGGCCACAGCCACCGCAGGCGCCGCCGCCGCAGCATCGCCGCCACCACGCACAGCTCCTGCCTCCGCAAGCGGCACGCCGCCTGCTCCAGTAGGGCCTCCCGCAGCAGCACACGCCCCAGCACGACGCGGCCTGCGCCGCCTCGGCACGGCCTCGTCCGCCCAGGCGTCGTCAAACACGACGTCGTCGCCGCCGTCGTTGCCCGAGTTGGGGCCGCCAGCGGCAGCGGGGACCGCATCGGGCGGCGGGCCATCCGCCACCACTGCATCCGCCATCGCCGCAGCTTCGCCTCGCTCCAGTGCGCGCCGCCCCGCACGCCTCTGACGGCGCCTGCGCCTCCGAGGAAGCGCGAGGAGCGGCGTCGGCAGGCACTTCAGGGCGCACTCCGCCGCCCGCGGCGGCAGGCTCCCGCGGAATCGGCCGCGCCTCGAAGGCGGCGGCCGAAACGGCGGAGCGTGCCACGGCAGCGACAGTGCGGCGCGGCGCGCCGCCGTCCACGGCTCCGCGGACCGCCGCAGCCACCAGGGCCGCCATGTCCACAGGCGCCGCGAGAGCCCCTCTAGGCAGCGCCATCCCGCGGTCCCGCAAGGAGAGGAGGGTGGCGCGGCCGTGCGATCGCTTGAGCCAAAATGGCTACGGACGAGGAGGAGGAGGAGGAGGAGGAGGAGGAGGAGGAGGAGGAGGAGCAGGGGCAGGAGCAGGAGCAGGAGGAAGAGGAAAGCGTCACATGTGCACTAGTTGAGTGAGGAGCCTTCGCGGATCTCGTTTGGGTCGTCTTGTGACTGGGGCTTGGCCTCCTGCGAGGCAGTCTTGGGGCCTCCTGTGGGCCCTCTTGGGATGTTTTGGGGCCGTCCTGAGCCTTTCTTGGGGTCCTCGCAGGGCCCTCCTGGGCAGTCGTGTAGGATTTTTTTCGGCGGCGAACCCAGGGGGGAGCTGAGCGGGGGCGGGCCTTCTCTGACGGCTGCCTGGCTCCTCAGAAGCCCTCGCGCCTTCTCAGACGTTGTCGAGGTCTTCTCCGAGGACACGGGCGGCCTCTCAGGGGGCTGGAGGGCTCCTGAGAAGCCCCGCCGCCGCCTTCTGGAGATGCTTGCCCTCCCTCGCGTCCCCCCTGGGCTCGCCGCCGATTTTTTGGCCTCGGGAGGCCGCACGTGCGCCGATCTTCAACCGAAGAGCGTGGCAGGCGCAACGCATGGAAGCGCCGAAAGGACACACCTGGCCTTCGGAGGGCGTCTGGGACGTCGTGGGGCGCACAGGAGGCCTCGCGGGAGTGCTTGTGCGCTTCTCGGGGGCAGGGTGCTGCTGGGTGCCACCCGAGGCAGCACTCTCTTGCCTTCCTGGCGGCCTCGGCGGCGGTCTTGGACGTGCGCTCCTCGGGGGCAGGGTGCTGCTGGGTGCAGCCCGAGGCAGCACACTCTTGCCTTCCTGTCGGCCTCGGCGGCGGCCCTCGAGAGGGCCCCCTCGAGGAGGCTCGCAGGTTCCCACGGGGGGGGAGCGGCCGGGCCGCCCGCGGAGCTCCGGAGAAGGGGGCGGTGGTGCATGCGTGGACGGAGGGGAGGGGCCATCAGGATTTTATTATTCATTATTAGTATTGTTATTATTGTTGTTATCATTATTACTATTACTAGTATCATTAGTATTATTGTTACTATTGTTATTATTATTATCATTATTATTATGACTATTATTATTTTTATTTTCATTGGTATTATTATCATCATTATTAGATCATTATTATTATTATTATCATTATTATTGCTATTATCATTATTGTTATTGTTCTTCTTCTTATTATTATTAATAATATTACTATCATTACTACCACTATTAGTTTTTTTTGTTTTTTTTATATATAAAGATTTCGCACTACCCAGCCGCAATCTCAAAGCAGTCCTGTGCACTCCCGAGCAGTGCACCGCCTTCCGGCGCGAGGCCTGTCCCATCCCGTTGTCTCGATGCGGGACGTTGGAGGGGCCACCATGGGGGCATATATGTGAGCCTCACCAGACAGCGCTTGGATCCTGCCACGCGACAGCTCAGGCGATGGCACACATGGATTTGGGGGCGTGGATTAGCGACGGGTCCCCGAAAATCTGTGGGGCCGGGGCTGCGCTCGGGCAGCTGCCGGGCGTGACCTGGCATCGCTCGGACGTGTGCATGTTGTCTCGGCGAGAACCATCGAGGGCGATCCTGGACCATCGAGCCCGAGGAGGAGGAGGAGGAGGAGGAGGAGGAGGAGGAGGAGGAGGAGGAGGAGGGGGGGCGTGGTTCGGTTTCCGTGGGACATCGCGGCTCTCCGCCGCCGAGCGAGGCGGCACCGGCCGCTTCTTTGGGGAGGGCCCCCCCCCCCTCCTCGACCCATGGCTCCGGCGACCGCGCGCCGAGTCCCCACGGGCCGCTGATGCATGTGCTCGCGCGCCCCCGCACGGCGCGCCACGGGGGGCACTGTCACAGGAGCGGCTCCTGCCCTGGACCTGGCGTCGCTCGGACGTGTGCCTTGTTCCCTCGCCAGATTGCCCCCGTTTGCCAGATGGGGCCTGCCAGATTGGCGCCAGATTGGCTTCGACTACCCAGATCATCTTCCTCCTGTGGAGGCAGCCCCCTGTCTTGGTGTTGGTGCCCACTTCCAGGCCTCCAGCTGGAGGCCTCGGCGACCTCGGAGGGGGGCAGCAGCCCTGGGCACGCTCTGCCGGCCGCGCCGCCGGCGCTCCTCTCTTGTTCTGCAGCTCGCCCCGGAGAGGGTGCCCGCGGCGGCCTCCGAGGGAGAGAGCGACGAGGCGTGCGCCGCGGCGGCTCGGAGATCGATCGCCGATGCATGCTTGTCAGGAGGGGAAAGGCACACACAGACACAAGTGAATCGCTGACTTTCCCAGGGAACTATTGGAAAAGATGGGAAGCGGGGGGGAAGACAAAAACCAAGGAAAAATATGGGAAGACACAATGCATCGTCGATTTTCCCCAGAAGATATTGGAAAATATGGGGAGTGGGGGGCAAGACAAAAACCAAGGACAAATATGGGAAGACATGGGGGATCCTGTTAGTTGTGCGTAATTTTGTCGTGTGTCCCTGGCCCCTGCAGAGAAGCCGCGCGCGGCGTGTCCGCCAGGAACAAGGAGATGGGCGAGGGCGAGGGCGCCACGTCGTCCTCGAGCGAGGAGGACGACAAGAAGGCCCCGCGCGCTCTCGAGGCACGGTCGAAACTGGCAGTGAGGATGGGTAATCTTCCAAATGTGCGAGGGCGAGGGCGTCACGTCGTCCTCGAGCGGGGAGGGCGACAAGAAGGCCCCACGCGCTCTCGAGGCACGGTCGAAACTGGTAGTGAGGATGGGTAATCGTCCAAATGGGCGAGGGCGAGGGCGAGGGCGTCACGTCGTCCTCGAGCGGAGGGGGCGACAAGAAGGCCCCGGCGCTCTCGAGGCACAGTCGAAACTGATAGTGAGGATTCGACCACAGAACAAACGACACCACTTTCGATGGCCATCCCGGCTCGAAAAGCTTCGGCAGGGGCGTCCAAGGCCTTTGCTTCCTCCCTGAGCAAGGAGGACGACAAGAAGGCTCCAGCACTTTCGAGGTATGAGACGACTCGGAGGAGTAACGGCATCCATATTCCTACCCCTCCACCGTTTTCCCCTTTTTGGGCCTTCTGGGAGTCCTTCGTTTCCACCGCTGGATTTGACTCGGAATGTTGGTCAGAACGCACCCCGGGAGAGGTCTGTGGAGTAGCGGCATGCGTATTTTTGTTTGTCCCCCCAACGATGTCGGATCGTGGATTAGGTGGTCTTTCGATACGTTTTCGCCGCTCTTGGCCTCCGAGGCCCTTGGGGTCCTCTGGAGACCACCCGAGGGCCTTACGAAATTTCGTAGGCTTTAGGTTAACGGGCTAGGCTGTGACCCTTGTCGGCTACTCATGGCTATAGGACGTTCCCCTCCGCTTCGAACACGTGGATGTACTCAGTGTTTGTCTTCAGGGCTGCCGCCCCGTGGGGGTCTCGACATGGTTGCACCTGCGCCTGCGGGGGCGCGGTGGGTAGGTTTTGTTTCTCCCGCAAGGCCACATCAGCTGCAGGTGTTGGTGCTAAGCCAAGTCGCCGACACGTGTGCATGCGAACGTGTTCGCTACGTCGCCACCGATCCACGCTCCAATCCCTAGCCACGTACACAGCCGTCAGTCAATGCGCGTGCAGACACAATCACGCTCCACAAGTAAGTAAGTTTCACACGCCCAGTGGCGCACGATGAGTTGACAGCATGGTTGTGATCATTTTTGCGTAACGTGTTTCCAGGGGGGGCGGGGGTTATCGTCGATTGATAACATGATTTCACACACGGGGTCTTCGCGCACTTGCGCTGCGAGTTGCCGCTGTGTGTTTTGATGGGGGCGATGATATACTACATAAGGCATTCGTTTTTTTTTTTTTTTTTTTTTTTTTTTTTTTTTTTTTTTTTTTTTTTTTTTTTTTTTCTCTCGGGTTTCCGTTCGGATCACCCGAACGTGAAGTGCTTGGTCATGTGCGTGATGTCGTGATCAGGCGATGAGGGCGACGACTGGCTCGGGGTCCGTTTAGACCACCGAGGTGAATCCGCAGAGGACGAGCCCTTGGTTTGGCCACGTCGGTCGAACCACCGATCAGTGTGCCCGAAGCTCTTTTTTCAGATGGCGCTGAGGACGAGCCTTGCCTGCGCCAGGTAGTCATTCTGATGCTGTCGCTGTCGTCTCTGTTGAGAGCCAGCCAGGGTTTTGGGTTCATCCGTGGTCCAGCCGTCCCTGAGGACAAAGGGCATCGGCATACCGTTCGGGGCGGTTCGTATTCTTCCGTTCTCGGGACTCGACGTGTCCATGAAAAGCGAGGCCGCTCCCAAGTGATATTGATGTTGGTGCGCCGTGCGATCGCCTTGCAGGCGCCGCCTGTTACGGCTCGGCGAAGCGTGCCATTCACATGTGCGGAGCCAAAAGGCCAGGGCAATTGTCAACCCGATATGTGCCATCCGATACGGAGAATAGTGCGGACGCAAATGTAAACGCTCGATTGGCAGATATTCCAGCACCGAAGGCGATGGCAGTCGGCAGGATCATGAGTAATCTTGCCCCCCCCCATGGTCTTGGTTGTCGTCGTACCTTGAACGGTCAGAGCTGCATCGTAGATGTGCAGTCGCCACCGCCCTCCCTAATCCAGTCTGCCAGCAGCACTACAGCCGAGTCAACAAAAGACGACCTGCAACACCTCGGCATGTCGTGTGACACGAGTGCTGCTTGCTGCTTTGCCTCGCGCGGTCCACGCGTCCGTCTGCGGTGGCTGCACTGGCAACTTGGAGGCTGAGCAGGCGATGCTCCAGGACTGCCCGCCGAGGGCGTCGCTTGGATTCTCTGTGCGGCGCCCGCAACGCACCAGCCTCGAACTTATCCCTGTCCCTAAGATGGACGCGCCCAAGGGCGATGACAATCTCAGGGATGCGTCGTGAGAAACTGAGGGACTCCCCAAGATTGGCACTGTGATGAGGCGATGCCCAGCTTAGGGATAGGGAGAGGTTCCAGGCTGGTAAGCATCGGGGGAGCGTAAGACCCGGGTTTGCCAGGACTCGGGTTCGCCATCGTTTTTTGACGACCGCGACTCGGATTTTGACGAGGAGGAGTTTTGTGGGATGTCTGCAGCGGGAGGCCTCGTCAAAATGCAGGCTGGGCTTCGTCATTCTTTTGACGACCTCGTCGGGGATTTCCGAGTCCCCCGTACCCAGGTCTTACGTCTCCCCGAAAGCAACACGGCGACAGCACCCGCGCTGTCCTCTCCCCGGCGGTCCAGCCGCGGGCCGCCCGACGCGCGCGGCCGACCGGATGTGTGCCTCGGGCCGTGCAGGGGGGGCGCCTCGGACGGACGAGCGCAGTGGAGAAGACGGCCAGTGATCAAAGAACACCCTCCTCCTCCCTCCTCCTCCTCCTCCTCCTCCTCCTCGTCTTCCTCCTCGTCTTCCTCCTCCTCCTCCTCCTCCTCCTCCTCGTGCCCCCCCGCGGTGCCAAGTTTCACCGAGATGCTAGGCGCGACTTTTTTGGCGCCGGGGGATGGGCCTGACATGGCATGTCGTCGGGGCAGCGCGCAGCGCCGGTGGGATGGCGCATTCGGAATCTTGGCTGCGTCGAACATTCTGAGTTGGGCGTCTGTTCGTCGCGCGCGCAAGCGTTGAACCTGGCGCGGGAAGAAGGCGCCGCAGATTTGCGCGGGGCTGGCATGGCGGTGCGTCGGCGGAACAGTCGGACAGAGACGGGCGAGCGCGTCAACGGCGTTGGTTTGGTCGCCCGCGTCCACGGGCTCGTCGGCCAAGCTCGGTCGCGAAGCGCGGGGGCTCAGAGGCGGCCGCGGCCGCGGCGTCTGGCATGTCTCGCGAGGGCGGCAGGCGATGCCGAGGCCGGGCGCTCCGGGACAAACCGCCGCGCACCCCGCGCTGGTGACGACGGGCCAGATCGAGAGGACGAGGGCGGCGATATATCCAGGCGACGCCGGGGTCTGCGACGCGACAGCGTGGTTGTCAGCGGCGGTTTCCAAGGCGACTTAACCATTGCCCGCGTTCATGAAGGACCGGCGGAGCGCCCGTAATCGAGGCAGTTTGATTTCAGGAGTTTCGTTGCAGCGCAAGCGGCACATTTGCGGGCATCCAGGGCGTAATTTTCTACGAGAAGTTTCAACGTTGATGAATCGTGGCGGCTCGTGACATGCCCTGTCTGGTCTTACGAGGCGTGCTTCGTTGAGGTTGTGCGTGGAGGTTGTGCGCGTTGTTGGCCAGTGCGGCTGCGTCTTTGCACGCGTTGATTGCCGTTCGTCATCGGCGGGGGTTGCGTGGGATTTCCGCGACCTCGCGGGGCGATGGCCTTCTGGGGGCGGGTTGAAGTGCTCGAGCGATTGTTGCGTGGATAGCTGCGCAGCTGGTTTGAGGCAGCATTGCCGTGATGCCGTGGGGCTGTCTTTTGCGCGCGGCGAGCTCGCGGTGCTGCTCTCCGTGCCGGGGTCGGGCGCGGTTCGGCGGGGGCGCAGCGCGCGACGATGGAAGGGCGGAGCTGGTTTCGTGCCGCGACGAAGCAGAGGGGGCCCGACGAGTTGTCAGCATTCTCCTGCTCCTGTGGGTGCCGATCCGATTGGAAGGGGCTTCGGGGCCAACTTGGCGCCGCGCAAGCGCTCGCGCGCTGCTTTTCCGTCCTGCTTCCTCGGGCAGCGGCCGCCTCCGCGCCCCCCGCGGTGCGCGCGCGCGCGCCCGCGGAGGCGGGCGCGGAGGCGGCGTGCGACGAGGGGGAGCCGTCGCCGAGCCCAGCCAGAATTGCGGAGGGCTGACGGCGTCGGGTGAGGCCCTCGTCCTCCTCCTCCTCCTCCTCCTCTTCCTCCTCCTCCTCCTCCTCCTCCTCGGGTCGCCTACGGCCCCGGGGGAAACCGTGCAGCAGAGGGCCAAGGTTTTGCGCGGCTTCTCCAGGCGAGCTCGGCCGCCCCGCCTAGGCTGCGGCTGTCCCTGTGAGTTCGCGCCCGCGCTTGGCGAGCGCCACTGCCGTGGGCGATGCTGGGGGGCATCGGCCTGCGACGGTGGCAAGGGCGAGTCCTTTGCCGTCTCCTGCCTCGGAGCCTCTGTCCAGGACGGTCGTCCCGCACGCCTCCCGCATGGTGTGCTATCGCGGCAGAGTCGCAGCCGATCCCCAGCCGCGATCGCGGCAGGGCTGCCCAGTGGACGCGCGGGGAGACGACGTGGTTCCCTGACTTCGGAGGGATTCCCGCCAAGTTGCTGAAAGGCATGCTGCGTCGTGGTCGGTCATCGAGGGGTCGTCGGCTAGCTCGGGACTGGCCGTCCAGTCTGCCGGGCCAGGGCTGCGCCGCCCCCGGTATTGGTCATGGCGTAGCGCCGCGCATCCGGGGCAGTCGAAGCGCCGACATCTAACCCAGACCCCTGAGACGGCGAACGTTGATCGGTGGAAGATTTCGACTGGTCACGTTTGGGCTGATGCGTGGGAGCCGCTACCGGACGCCCCCGATGACAAGCGCCCTCGTCGCGATGCTCAGTGGGGCGCTTGCAGGGGCACTAGCCTTCGACTGACATTGCATCATTACGCATTGTGTCGCGGAGGCGTGGGAATTTTCGGCTTCTTGAAAGGTCGGCATCTCGCGGCTTGCTTCCTGATGGTCGTGCCGGGCATCGTCTC